CAAGGTCACTATCAGGAATGGGCATTCGAAGTGGTCTCTACACTATTGCTTAGCTAGCATCCAGCAATTACATATGCCACATAAACAAAAAACAGGTTTCTCTATTGCACATTTCAAAGGTGAAATGACGTAGTCATATGAAGTGAGTTTTGTTTTTTGTTTTTTTATGTACAAGGAAGAATATAATTTTGTTTGGCTCAAAAATGCACACTGCCAAGGCTGCTTAGTACTAAAATGTTTTTTAAGCAAGAATTTAGGTTATGAAGCTGATGGAATTCTTTGCTTTAATGAACAATGCAATGTCCGCTCTCTCTTCCACTCTGACTCAGTGATAGAGGACAAAGTTAGGGGTTAGGTTTTGAAGGCGGTGAACTGTCTTGGACACTGCTTGGAGAGACAGGTGGGGCTTCCTCTCTTGGGCCGGAAGGCAGTAAGTCTCTTGCAGCAGGTTGTGGCAGCGGGTAGTCCTGAGGACCATGGGTTGGAGGTGGTAAACGGGTACCAGGAATAAAAAATTCTCTTGGACCAAGTGAACCTGGAGGTCTAAATGGTGCGTGTCCTAGTAAAAACTGCCGAGGGTCAACAGGCAGGTCCCATTTCCCGGGTAGAACACCTGGTGGATACTCTCTTATGCCTAGTGGTGCACCCATGCCTGGAACTAGGAAACAAGAGTCATGTAAATACCAAGCAACATATTTAAAGGAGCAATCATTCCAAGGACAGTCACATATCTATTAATTCGTCAGCCGTAGAAAGTCAAGCAAGACACCGTGACTTAAAAATAAGGCAAAAAAGACTTAGCAAACTGAAATTAGTCTGTGGCCACTAAGCAAACAACACCTTTTAACTAGGCTCTGCTTAATTCCAACTTTTCTTTTCTTTCTGCAATTCTACATTTCAGAACAGCTCCATTCAGAATATGCCAGGCCATGAAAATAGTGAAAACACAGATACACTATGAAACACATTCACTGCAACAAAGTTGGTAAAGGCCTACCCCTGTGTCAACTGAAAGTTCATGGGGCCAAACTACAGCAAGGAGATGAACTCACATTAATGTGCATTCACTAGGATCCTAGTGTGTTCTCTGTAACAGCAGTCTTCTATCTGGTCTCAGGCAGAAGGGATCCTATAGCTTTCCTATCTATATTCTGAGACCAGTGGCTCATGCTTCTATTGGTATTTGTGGCCTACAGGACACGATGACATGTCTCACCCATCCTTTCCATATATAATAGTATGGTGTTCCAATGCACCTTCACAGGAAACATTACTGGCTTTCCCATCCAGCCACACCCAACTCACCTTATGGAAATAAAATAGAACCTGTAAGTGCCCAGAAGATTGGGGATAGGTTACAATGCACTCTCAGCTGCATCCTCAATTGGAAAGCTCTATGGTAACAATTACTTTAGCAAGGAACAGAAGTGATGAGTATGTTTTAAAAGTCAGCACTATTCATGTCAACATACCAAATGGTGGAGGCACTGGCCGAGGCCCAAAAGGCCCCCATGGCTGAGGAGGTGGTCCATAAGGATAGGGTGGTGGCACCGGACTTCTCAAAGGGTCACCAAAGAGAGGTACCCCTGGAAACGGAGGGGGCCCTCTGGGAGCCATGTTAACCTGTAGAAAAGAAACAAAGTTTGCAAATGCTTTTACATGGTGCCAAGAGTAGTAAACTGGCAGCTGTCCAAAGAATCCTCGGCGTAACACAACACCTCACCCCATGTTGCCATTGACAACTCAGAGGTCAGAAGGATGCTGCAAACTGTGACTGGGCTTACTGCTTGCTATCAACTCAGGAAGGGGACCCTTCCTAAGAAGTGACTGTGGCTCGGGTCATGCCATACGCACTGCAATCCATACAAAAGAAATACTCTCTCTCATCACTGTAACCCCACATGTACATAGGGAGAGCACAGGGAACAGAATGAAAATACATTCAGTACACAAGCAGTAACAGCAACCATCAGGGCATCATCAATAGGTCTTCACTGTATGATCCAAAGTTTGATCTTAACGTCTGTGTGAGTATCCTGGTGTAAACTTGTGTAAGCAAAGGCAAGAGGAGTCGAGCCGATTGGGGGTCAGACTACATGTAGGACAGGCTAGAACTCAGATACCAGGCTGCACTCCAAGGCTGGGTGCTTCCCAACGCTCCATACTTGAGGTCTGCACTCTGGGAAGTCTGGAAAAGCCTCTGTGTCCCACCTAGCATGGCCTGGACGAAGACTCAAGACATGCACATCCCTGGAGCCTTGGCCTAGGCTTCACAGTCTTCCCTGCACAGTTTATGTTCGTCATTAGGAAGACAGCTCGAGGAATGGCCTTCGACATCTGGCAACTCTACATTACAGGACAGGGATTTCCACAATGTGTTAGTATAGGGCAGAGGGCTAAACAACTGCAGTCACCACACATGTCCCAAGAGTACACGCTGTAGTGAGCACTGAACCAGTAACCCAGCCACTGCTCAGGACCTGATCAAGAGAAGGCACACACACATTCCTGTTTGTAAGCAGTCTGCTTCCATGTGACTCAAAACAGTGTGCCTGGTGCACAGATGCCTGGGTTCCAGAAGCACAGTTCCAAGCAGGTCACTTGTGTGGTCATAGGTACTGCAAGTGCTCTCAACTGGTTAGTAATTTAAGTCAAACAGGAAAGAGGACACCAAGAAACAACGCTGGCTCGGTGACACTCCAAAGTCAAGGATCACTGGAGTTATACTGGATAGATGGTGAAGGGGACAAGTGTCATGATTTTCAAAGCTGTAAGGACGAAGCCAGCAAAACCAAAGCCCACTCTGGCTCTCAGTCTC